TAGCCACGGAGGGGTTTTTGTGTTCTTCCCTGTTACTTTGAGGGCTTGTTGGGGACAGGAAAAGACCAAAGGAAGATCTAGCAAGAAGGGTACTTGGCAAGGGAGCAGATGTTGCTGCATCAGCGGCTGCCCAAAGTTTGCACTGGAGCATGTCGTTCCACCCCCTCCCCCAGGTAGTCCTTGACTTACAACAATTCACTGTTCAAAGTTACAGTGAAAAATGTACATCGACTTATGCCCATTTTTCACACTTATGACCATTTCGGCATCCCCATTGTCACGTGATTTACATTTGGAGCCTTGACAACTGACTCACATTTATGACGGTTGCAGTGTCCCAGAGTCATAAATGCCCCTTTTGCAACCTTCTGATAAGCAAAGTCAATGGGGAAGCCAAATTCACTGAATTACCCCGTTACTAATTTTAAAACAAGTAAAACGGGGCAAAACTCACTTAACACATTTCTCACTTAACAACACAAATTTGTGATCGTAACTTGAGGACTAGCTGTACTATTCATGTTAGGCAGGAAACAATATACAGTGGCCTGCTTGTTGTCCCTTTTAGTTCTCCATTCCGATTTCATTTTCCCTTCCTTTTTTTTTTTTTTAAAGACTCTTCCATCTTGATCCCGTAAGGAGGTGTGTGTAAATGTCTGAATCTCACAGAACCTTTTCTCAGTAAAGGTGTTAAATGAACGGTCCCCGGTTGCCGAGTCTGGCCATCTTTTTCCTCTGGGAAGGCTGCTGCCCGTTATGTTGTCGTTGGAGTCGAGGTCAACCCTGACCGTGTTCCTCCAGCAGTAGGTAGCAATTGCTCCTCGTCGGGCCTTAAGGGAGCGTGACCTCGGGCCACGAACGCGCCAACCCACCAACGCGCATTCTCTCCGAGCCCGGCTGGCGCGCAGGCGCGTAGCACCGATCTCCGCGGAGACTCGGCTCCTGCCTGAAAGAGCAAGGTTCCCCCGCCGCCGCAGGCCCGGGAGCTTTCCCCCTTCCAGCCCCACCCCCCACTCCTAGACACGCGGGTTCATCTATGCCTTCCCATGGGCCTTTCAAGGGGCCGGTGGCTGGGGAGATATTCGGCAGGCAGCTCTCAGCGCAAGAAGCGATGCCCACCGCTACTGGTCTGTGGCCAAATTGTTTCCCCCGGTCCCAGGCCGGGAGGGGATCCCAGGAGGAAAGCGGAACGCGGCAGGTGCCCTCGGATTCGCTCAAGCTCTAGCACTTTCCCCTTCTCGATTTCCCTCCCAAAAAAACGGGGGAGAGAAAAGCTAGGAGTCCTGGAAAGAAACAGGTGTTGCGCCGCGCGCATTTCCTCCGGTAGCAACGGGTTCCAACAAAGAGAGCGAGGGGGGGGGGGAGGAGGAGGCCGGGCGAATGGGAGACGGGCAGGTACATGGACCAAGCTGTTCATAACGCTGCAGATGGATCCGCGGCCGTTTTCTCTCTATTACACTTGCAGTGCAAGAGCGTTTTATTTCCACATTCACCCCAGACACCCCAGACTTGTTCCGTGGCGGTCAAAATTGTAACCAGATCGGGAGAACCTAGCGGAAGAGAAAGCTTTACCTTATTTATCCAAGCAGAGACGCACGTAGATTGACGCTTGGTGGAGCCAGCAACCTTTCTACGAGAGAGAGAGAGAGAGAGAAGGAGAGAGAGAGAAGGAGAGAGAGGGGGGGGGAGGAGGGAGGGAGAGGGAGAGAGAGAGAGACTGCAGAATGTTTTCTAATTTGTACCGTGTTGAGTCCGAGGAAGAAACGAAGAGGAACCAAGCAGGTACACGTGAGTGAACCAGGGTTCCTCGAAAGGTACAGCTGAGCAACCTCCAAACGTCCGACGTAGGTGTGGTATAAGATTCTGTTGCCACCTCTTGTTCCCAATACCTGCCTCTTTCCTAGAGCTTTAAGGTGGTTGTAGACTTCCTACTCTGGCAAGTTTGGCTAGAGGTGGGCATAGAGACCTGTCGAGAAACGGCTGGATTCTCTTGTTTTAATCTTGTGCCTCATCTGGAACCAGCACCCCACTTCTTTGGGTGAAATTGCTGCCTAACAGAACTATATTTCTGGTCGTACCCTCGCTTCCCGTCCGATTGTTTTCGTGTTTTAAGTTCCCACAAGCATGACACGATGCTAGGGTTTTATTGGTGTCCCCTCCCCTCCCCCCACCCGCACTCCGGTTCCTGGTGAGACAAAAAAGGGGCTGCGGTTCACTCCGGAATCACTGTAAAGCAAAAACAATATTCGCTTCGAGAGGATCGTTGTTGCTTAGGTTTCACGAAAAGTGCAAAAAACCCAGACGCCCCTCTTTCAAAACACAACGCAGAAAAATGTTTCTGCCTTCGTTTTCTCCTCCCACCTCTCCTAATCCTCGAGCCCCTTCAAAGCGTCAAAAGGTAAATATAGTTTACAGGGGCAAGAAGGCAAGAAAGTCACCGAGGGATGAAAATACAGCAAAATATCTCTTTAGAGCAAATGCCTGAACTCTTCAAGAGGTTTTAGTGTTCTCAAGAGACTGGCGGAGGGGCGGATCGAAATGAGATCCGGTAAACGGCTCGGGGAAAAGACTCACCCAAAGTTGGTGGTGAGGGTCAAAAATTGGGAGAACTTGTTGGCCGAGTGCTCGCGCCTTTAAGGATGGGATCGGCCGGAGGTTTCTTCCCGACCTCCAGACGCCCCGGATGGGACCTGACCTACCCCACACTTTCCCTACCCCACCGCCACTCTCCTTTCTCCCACCCCGTCGCGCTCTCCTCAGAAGACTTAGCGAACAACACCCCCCAACCCCTACCCCAGGTACTTAAAAAGTTAGGAAATCAGAACCGCGCATTATAAGACTCTCGAAGTCGACTTTATTTTCACTGCCCAAACTGTTGGAAAGTACTTCAACTTAAGCAGAAACAGCTGGATTGCTGGCACTGCTTTTTGTTGCTGCGAAAGTCGACTTTGTAATTCAGAACTGGCGTTTTGGAAGGGAAGGTGTCTCGGTTGCCTTTTCTTTTTTTGTTTTTTTGTTTTAAACTTAGCCTGCAAATAGATTCATCGTTCCTCCCCACCTTCACCCCTCCCCGGAACTGTGTTAAAATTACATACACTGATCAACTGATGATAAGACTTGGTTTCCTATTTTAATGTATTCGATCGCAGAGTTCGGTGTATTGTAGAATCTCTAGATATTATTAGAAAACTATTGCCTGAGTACTACTATACTTCTATGGGTTCTTTGGTTTTCAGTCAAACCCATCAGCACAGAGGCTTTAGGAAATCGTGTGGTGGAGTACAGAACTTAATCTGAGGTCCTCTCTGGTGCGAAGCAGAAAAGTAGAGTAGAACAGGGCTCACTTTAAGCTTTTTTAAAGATGCAAATCAAAATGATCCGGGACAACTAGATTGTTGGCAGGGTTAGATCGGGATCGCGATTTTTGCATACAAATACATCTTTTGGACACACCTAGCATTTCTACAAGTAAGGAACACGTCTGGCATGCCCACGGTTTCCCAAGAGTCTGAAGGGTTCTTAGGGTCAGGCAAAAGTATAGGTATAGCTATCATTTCCTTGATGTCACCAGGATTTACTGGGAAACAAAGATTATTGGTGTTCATGGAAGTTTTTCCTAACTACCGGTAGGCAACCCCTAAGCGCTAAAGTCAGAGACTTGGAGCGGAAGGACCAACATTCTTTTCGGTGGGTAAGTAGCTTTTCTCCCTGGACATAAGTTATGAGCTACAGTATGAGGTAAAGGCAGCACTTTCGCTCATTTCCCCGCCTCTTCATGCTTCTCACAGAAGATATGCTCAGGTCAACGTTCACCGAGTTTAGCTCAAAACGCTGTAATAAAAAAGGGGAAAAAATAGTTGCATTTCTCCGCTCCTCTGCAGAACGACGCACGAAGGGGAAATTGCACACCAGCGGGCAAGCGAAGGGACTGGGTAGATTTAGCGGAAAGCAGCCAAGTGGAGCCTGGGAGGTGCTCTTCTGAAGAGATTTTGCATAGATCCAAGATTGTCCCGGTCTAGTTGGATCTATGAGGAAACATTTCGAAGGAGACGAGTCTTCCCGGAACCGCTAGAAATGAGGCGGGGGAGGGCGCTCTGGGAGGCTGCTTCGTCGACGTTTCAACTCTTGATGTGCGCGGGTGTCCACCCACCCACGTCTCCTTTCAGGAAAGTCGACGGGCTGGAGCGCTGGGGGGGGGGGGGGGGCAGCTTCGGAACCTCTTTTATTCTGGCCCTGCCCCCCCCCCTCCCATCACCCTGAGGGAGAAAAGAAGGAATGGTGTTATGCGGTCGGCGTGTCTCCTCCCTCCGCTTTTTGCAACAGACTCAATCCACTGGGCTCCAGACCCAACGCTCCAGATCGAGTTCCTAATGCGTCAATCCCCAGATCCTGCGAATCCCGGGGTTCACTCGGCCTCCTCCTCCTCCTCCTCCTCTCTCCCAGATTAATCGGACTTGGGCACCTCCTCTCCGCGATCGCGTATTATTCCGCTTCCTTATTACTTGTCGGGGGGGGGGTTTTCTTTCCAGGCTCGGGTGGGGGTGGGGGATGGTCGTTGTTTATTTAGCTGGAGTAAGGAAGTCGATTAAAAAAAAGAAAAGCTTCGCTTGTCACCAGGCTTTATACATGCCATTGATTTATTCCCCCCCCTCCCGACACACACACACACGGAGGGGAGGGGACTGAAATTGGGCAAGCGGATTGGAGGAGTATGGTGAGCAAGGCTGGATATGGAGGAGGAGGAGGAGTGGGGAGGGGGCTCCCGCTCCCCTCCCCCTGCCTCCCCCACCAGACAGCTGAAGAGCCCCTCCGCCTCGCTTTCTCCCCTCAGCCGCTCCGGAGGTCCCCCTCCCAGCTCCCCCTGCCGGGGACACAGCCTCCCTGCCCCCCCCCCTCCGGGATCCCTGCTCCTTCGGCTCCGCCCCTTTGTGATTGAAACGCGGATCACGTCGCCAGGAGGAGGCGGGGGCGGGTGGGAAGGGGAGGTTGGGGAAGAGCCGAGCCGAGCCGAGCCGGAGCTTCGGCAAGAGCGGCCTCTCCCGTAGAAGGGCGGGCGGGCAAGGCAGGCAGGCAGGCAGGCTAAGCCAGCAACAAGTGCGCAGGGAGGCAGGCGAGGCGAGGGAGGGCGAAAGCTGACGTCAGCGAGCGGAGTATTATGGTCTGGGCTGGGCTGGCTCCTGCCGCTGCCGCCGCCGCCGCTTTTCTGCTGCCAGCGGCCGAGTAAACATGGAGCTCTCCGCCGTGGGCGAGAGGGTCTTCGCGGCCGAGGCCTTGCTCAAGAGACGCATCCGGAAAGTAGGTGCTCCGGCGCCGCCTGGTAGCGCAGGGTCGGCTTTGTGCGCGCGGCACCGAACCCGCCAGGCCCGCCCGAGGCCGCAGGCAGAGAGAGAGGGAGAGGGAGAGAGAGAGAGGAGCGGGGCTCCGCTCGGCTCCCTCCTTTCTGCAGCAGCGCTTTGCTGCCTGCCGCTCCCCCTTTCGGCTCGCGCTGCGCAGATTGCCACCATCTCGAGCGTCGCGGACCCCCCGCCCCCCCCCCCCCCAACAACCTCTTAAATGCATGCACATTTTTGGCTGCTGCGGCTATCTTCTTCTTCTTCTTCTTTTTTTTTGCACGCAGCTCTGCATGCATATTGGAACCCGGCTTGCAGCACGCCCCCTTTTCATGCATGGTTTTTTTTTTTCCGCCCTTCCTTGCAGCTTTTTGCCTTTGCGTTTTCGTGGCATGCTCTGGGCTGCTTGCTTTTTTTTTTTTTTTTTTTATTTGCGCATGCGGTCGGGAACACCTTCGGTTTTCATAGCGAGTATGTTGTAGCTCTCCTGAAATGCGGGCTCATTTGTTTCTTCTTGACAACTGCAGGGTCGTATGGAATATCTGGTGAAATGGAAAGGCTGGTCTCAGAAGTAAGTAGACCTCAGTGTAGTCTAATTGGTGGCAAAAATTGCAGTAGGATTGATATTGCTCTGTTGGGTAGACAGAGGGACACTTTTACCCTCCAGAAAGGTCCCCTCCACAGCTGCATTTTGGAACATGAGGAGGGAAAAAAATATTTTCTTTCTTTTTCTCTTTACTCTCCTGCTCTGTTTGACTTTCTTTTGCTTTTTGCTAGGTACAGCACCTGGGAACCTGAGGAAAACATCCTAGATGCCCGCCTGCTTGCTGCTTTTGAGGAAAGGTATGTCTGTTTGAGGAAACCTACACTTTTATTAGAGCCATAACACTGTGTTTTAGAGCACTATTAAATCATTCTATGTCCTTATAATGCCTGCATTTGTTTTTGTTTTTTTCCTTAAAAACCACATTTAGGGAAAGAGAAATGGAACTTTATGGTCCTAAGAAACGTGGCCCCAAACCCAAAACCTTCCTTTTAAAGGTAAGAAAGAGCCATGTTTTTTGAGTTTCTGCTTGTGATCATAATGGAAAATGCAACTTTTGTCTTAATTAAAAGGCCAAATTCTGAAGAACCATCTTCTTTTCTGCTCTCTCTCTCTCTCTCTGAATGTGTTTGTGGATGTGTGTGTTTGACTGTGGGGAGGGGGTCGCTCTGCTTTTGTGTTGACCACATTGTTGGAGCATAGGACTAAAGAAGTGTAGTTGTTTTCACACTTTTACAGGCCCAGGCCAAAGCCAAAGCCAAAACATATGAATTCCGTAGTGACTCTGCTAGGGGCCTCAGGGTACCTTATCCTGGACGATCTCCCCAGGAACTTGGCTCTACTTCCCGGGCTAGAGAAGGACTGAGACAGATTCCACTGCCCCCTCAAAGCAGCTCCACCACCTCTACCCCCAGCATGCCTCGAATGGAGCCCATCCAGGAAAACAGGGTGGGGTCAGAGGAAGACCATTCTGAAGGCGCCTTCAAAAAGCGAGGTCCAAAGCCCAGGAAAGACCTGCCTGAAATGGCAGAGGTTGCCTCAAAGCGGAAATCAATGGAGCCTGGCGACAAGATGGTGGTGGACTACCTAAAAGCCAGAAAATTGGAAGAGACAGCTAACTCTGGGACAGCAAAATTCAGTTCGGGACACAGTGTGATCCAGTTAGCCCGGAGACGAGAGCCTGAGTTACCCAGTGTTGTTCCCAACCCAAGGGCAGAGACTGGCATGAAACTGGGTGCACCTGAGACTTACCCTCCTAGACTGACCAAGCACAGGGCGGATTTCCTGGATTCCAAAGGACAAAGTGGTTTGGACTTGGGGGCTTCTAAGATCTTGCACAGCTCTGCAAACCAAGGCAGCTTATATCGAGATGGCATAGGGACGCAGGCTGGCAGGCCTTCCCTCATCGCCCGCATCCCTGTCTCCCGGATCCTGGGTGACCCAGAAGAAGAGCCCTGGAGCCCATCTTTCAACAATTTGGAGAAAGTAGTAGTGACTGACGTGACATCCAATTTCTTGACAGTGACCATCAAGGAGAGCAGCACAGACCAAGGATTCTTTAAAGAAAAGCGGTGAATTCCTTCAGAGAAAAGAAGGCATTGAAAGGCTTTGGATAGAGGTCGGCTGAATTGGGGATTTAAAAAAAAACAACAAAACTTTTGTTTTAAAACTTTTTTGGATGGGCTTGCTTTTCAAATATCTGTCCTTAATTCTTTATCTCTCCCTCCCCATCCCAACCTTGCCACCAATTTCAATTTGGGTTGAAAAAAATATCTCTAGAGTTATATTTTCTATTAGATGTAAATATGTTATTTAAAGAAAAATACATATATATATATATATCTATATCTATATACATACATATAAATATATATATTTCAATTCTTTAAGTTGTTTGATTGTTTTTTTTTTTAATTTAAGACCTTTAGAGAAGGATATTAAAACAGAAATGATGCGTCTCTTGCCTCAACTTGCAAGAGCTGGTGTGTAGATAATGAATGATCCTGTTACTCAATCATAATACCTTGATTTAATTCCCCCCTCCCCCAGTTATTTCTCCTTTCTTCCCACAAATATGATGTTGACTGAAAATATGGGGATATTATATTCATCTGGGGATTGAAAAAGTTCCAGGGTTCTTTTTTTAATTGTTATATTATAAGGTGTTGCTTTGTACAATCAAGTGTGCTGTATACACAACTGTTCTGGCTGGACAGCTGAAGTAAGCACTTGACTTTACAGTATTGTCTTGCTTTGTTTTGCTCCAGTTGAAAAAAAAGTTGTTGTTCTAAAAAGTGTCCATTAAAAACAGTTGAAAGATGTTTTAGCAAAGTATTAACTTGAATACCTTTTCTTGCAAGGGAGAAGGGGATATGTAAGATTTTTTAAAAGTGTAGCTGCTGTTATGCACTTTAATATGACTGTCATAGAGGGAAAGTGGGAATGGTAGAAGAAGAAATTGAGCTGATAGTTTAATTTAATTTTGATTCTCTCTCTTCCTCCCTCCCTCCCTCCCTCCCTCTCTCTTTTCCCTGCTCACTCCAATAAGAAAATCTGTTTACATTCCTTACATGCCAGAAAGTTGGGGAGGAAAGCATATGACTGGTCATATTCTCAGTGTTCCTGCTGTTATTTTGAAAGTGGATTTTCCAATCTCCCCCAATGTTTGTAGTTCCTTTGTAGGCTATTAGATTAACCTGTGGCACAAAATCATTGTTTTCCTCATACATTAAGGATACGAGACAACTTCCCATGTAATGGGGCTGGGAAAGACCAGAATTTCAGAGTTAGCTGTTTTTATAGCTAAATTTCTTTTTCATTTTTTAGAAAGAAGCATCTGTTCTGATTCTCTCTCCCCTCCCCTCCCACAGTTTCTAAGCCAAGTGATGGAAAAAATGCTTGTCAACTTCAAGCAAACATTTAAACCATTTTTCTCTTCCCTTGAAGATGAACTCTGCTTAACTTTTCAAGAAAAGCTTTTGGTTGTGCTTTATTCTGTAAAGCTCCCTATTAAGAGAGAACATGCAGAGGAAATTGGGGAAAGGGTCGCTTCCTCTTCTTTTAGCAGGTGCTGTGGTGCCCCAATATATATTGATTTAAGCATCTTTTGTTGGTTCAAAAAGCACAAATCTGCCTCACAGCCCCTAAGGGCCTAGCAGGGGGATGTGTTGACTTCTCTGTTCTTTTTCTGAATGGCTGATTCACTGGGTCCTTTTAACACACTTTCTAATTGGGGGAGGGAACAAGGCATGAAACTCTATGTGTGGCCTAATGAGAAGAGACACGGAGGAGGAAAATCAGGTGTTGCAAGAAGCAGAAATACCCTGGTCATTTCTGGGCTCAAATAGAAATATTGTTCCTTGGCCCCACCTATCTCCTGCTTATTGGAGGTGGGATTTCTCCAGCAACATCAACATGGCCATTTTGTTTAGATTGTGCTGAAGAAGTAAGCAGGCTTCATTTTTTCCCCCTGTTCACCCTCCCTTTCTTATTTAAAGGAAAACCAATATTTTAAATTCTAGTCAGCTCAAAGCATTTCTGTAGCTCTGCAAATCTGTTGAGTTCAGCCAGGGGTGAGGAAGCGTGTCAGCATATGTGTGTGTTGACAGTGGTTCCATATAGTTTAGAGCTGGAGTGGGGAAAAGGGGAGAATGCCAGAATATTTCCTGAGTAGAAACAATCTTTAATGCTCTCCTTAATTCCTCAGGTGTCAAAGGTGGTACATGCCCCCTGTGATGTGGGTTTCTAGAGGCACACACATGGGTATATAAAAGCTAGACCGACATGTGAGTGTATCTGTCTATGTACATAGTTACATATATTGAATGTATGTGGGTGTGAGTTATTCTCTTTTAAGATTTGTAAAAGGAAAAAAAAAACATTATTGAACTGGCCTCGCAGTCTCAGAAGTGAAGCTTAAGTAGGTGTCTTCTGCAAATGTGGAATGTCTAATACAGTACCTGCTTTTTGTGAATTGAAATATATATAATTCTTTGTAAATAGAGACTTGGCTTTGTTTCATTTGTTGCTGTTGCTGGGCTAAAAGACTCTTCCTCCTGACACACAGTTCTGAGGGTCACCCCATCTTGCCCTTCTAAGTGGCTTGTGGGAAAAGAGCGCATCCCTTCTGCTTCTTGGCTCATTCAACAGTTCCTCTGATCTGAAGCTGGGATGGAGTGCACCATTTCCTGAGTGAGGTGCTAAAATTGGGAAGATATGGTGCTGCCCCCTTGCCCTAGCCAGGTGCTCAACACACAACTGAAAGGGGAGACTTTTTGAGGCACTTCATGCTTGACCAACATTCATGTAGTGTAGACCAGGAATCTGATCTAGGTTGTTCTCCTACTGGATCGCTGAGAAACTGAAACCCTTCCCTGGGAATATCATGATGTTGCTGGCCTCTATGATTTTTGGCTGATAATGGATGTCCTTGGGCTCCAAGCTGCTTTCTTTTGGGGCATTCATCAGTCTCTGGGATTAAATGAGGTCCTAAGAAGTTGAAAGGGGAACAGTATCTGTATTTATCAACAAGTTATGGATGGAAGCTGGATCTAACAATCATAATCTGGTGGCTCAGTGGTTAGAATGCAGTATTGCAGGCTAACTCTACCCATACCCTGAAGTTTGATCCTGGTGGGTTCAAGGTTGGCTCAGCCTTCCATCTGACCCAGATTGTTGGGGGCAATAGGCTGACTCTTATAAACTGCGTAGAGAGGGCTGAAAAACACTATAAAGCTATGTATAAGTTGAAGTGCTATTGTTATAATCAAGCATGAGTCAATATATTTTATTAGTTTTACAATGTTGCTAATTTGATTGGCAGGCAGGAAGTTTACAGAAATTCAGTTACTCCTATTTCCTTCAAGAGAACTCAAGGCACAGCCTTGTAAGCTTTACCTGGGAAATAATTAGTAAAACAATTTAATAGGATTACCCAAGCAGAAGATTGGCAGGTACCTTACAGAATTATGATGATCCAGAATTCCAAATTTCACCAATAGAAGCCCATAAAGGCTGTAAAGCAAAGGGGCCTTTATGGCTTCAACTCCATGTCTTCCTTTGTGATCTTTGAGATCAAACTCCAAAGGCCAGGTGAGGAAAACGGGCAGATTTGAATTTAATCCAAATAAAATATTGGGCTCCTTTCCCCTTTTCCGTTAGGCCTGCAGAGGTAGTCTACCCTCGGCTACTTTGTGATCAGAAATCCTAATCCCTGGGAGAAATTCTTCAAGTGTCAAGAACCGAAACCATGTTTCATTGTTGTTGTTTTAAATCTAGCCTTCCGTCTTTCTCATCTAGCCTTAAGGCTTCCCAGTATAACACTTTGGAAGTAATAATTTGCCGTGGCCTTCATGGCCACGCACTTCCTCAGGTCTTTGCAGTTTTGCGTTGCGTGGCAGCGCGGAGAGTTTGGAGGTTTGTAAAAGAGGCGAGTCCGGGAAGCGTCCGAGCCAGAAGCGATGGAGGCGGTTTGCAGGAGACAATCTTAGAGCGGCCGCGCCCATTCGTGGAAAGGGGGAACCGTGGAGGGCGCCCCGCGGTTAGAAATAATGCCAATCCTTGACCCGAAGGGTTGCTGAGCGCCTGGTTTCGCACAACCGCTAAGCTGAAACTCTTAAAAGATGGGTTTGCGGGTCGTAAGGTTCATCTGGCATGGCCCCAACGACACAATTCGGAGGGACACCGAAAGGTCGAGTTCACGCCAAATGCCAAGGCAAGGCATGCCCACCGCGAATGGAAGGCTAAGCTCCTTTTCCACTTACCCTAAGCCGCAACTCAGCCTAGCCAAATACTTGGCGTGACCCATCCCGCTGCTCCCAGGGGCTAGGAGAAGAGTGAAGCGGGGTATATGTGATCTTAGTCTGGAGTCAAACAGGTTCAACTGCAGCTAGTTGGCGACAGGAGTAGAAACAGCGGCTGCCCCCGCGTTCCCAAGGTCGGCTGCGGACTTCCCGTCGTAAAGGTGGGTCGTAGGATTCAATCGCGGCGTCCCCGTCGATTTAGTCACTATCTCAACGAATATCATAGACGGCCGTGATCTTGAACTAGCGAAAGCATAAAGACCCCTCTCTGTTTATTGCAAAGGGGTCCTCCGCACCCCACACGAGGAATGTGACGTTAGCTCCTTGTTCCCGCACCTGCTCCAGGCGGAGGTCCTAAACATCGACCCAGCGACCCCCTTTCCCTCGCGCGTTAACCTGCGCCAGGGTTTTTGGGAAAGGCGGATTTCTTTATTTTTTTAATGGGCACCTCTCCCTTCTCCAGATTCTGGGCCAACGTAATTATTGTTATTCTGGCCTGGTTTCAGTCTGGCGTGTGTGCATGTGCTTGTGTCTCTTCAAGTAGGCAATTACCGAGTCCAGAAACACTGGTTGGGTGGGGTTGCTTCCCTCGCCTTGCAAAGCGGCTCGCGGTCCTGGAAGGGAAGAGCCGGCACTTAAGAGTGGCGAGCCAAAGGGTTTCTCGCCTCCTCTTCCTCCCCTCCAGACCACCGCGGCGGGGGGGGGGGGAGAGGAGGAAAGCAGGAGGTTCCGCCCCTCCCACCAGAGGAAGACGAAGAGGTTGAAAGGAGTCAGGGCGGCGACCGGAACCGGTGTTTCCAGCGCCTCCTACACGGCGTCCGGGACGGCGA